CATTTTTATTTTTTGCAAATGAGCTTAGAGAGCTTAAAATACAAGTATAAATTTTTATAATAAAAAAAAAAGAGAGAGAAACTATAATACATATATACTTTTTCAAGGCTACATTCCATATCTTTTTTTCGAGGAAAATTTTACTCAATAAGTCTGTAAAATATCAGATAATTTTGAATTACAAATGAAAATAAAAATTTAAATAAAACAATATGGTTTTAACATCATTAAAGAATAAAATTGTAATTATCATTTTTACTTACGTTCAATTGGTTTAAGAGAAATAAAATTCCGCCGGCGATACCACAAACTAACTGTGGGTAAACGATTCTTTTCAAATTGATTACAAAGAGAAAAAGGACTTCTTTCAAAACAATTTTAATTTAATTCCACAAAAGTTTAAATATACTATAGAATTCTTTTTGAGTTAACAGAAAGGAACTTTTTTGAATTCATCAACAATCATCTAACAATCATCAGAAATTTGAACAGTACTAGACTTTTGTTCATTTTCGAGAAAAATTTTATCTGTTCCAAAACCTTATAAATATTCTTGACAAACATCTCTTGTCCATTCGAAGATTTATCAAAAAAAAAATCTTCCTCGAAAAGAACATTTGAAATATAATCCTGAAAATTATTATATTTTCTCTCTTTCTCTCTCTCTCCTTTCTTTCTCAAAAGGAAACAAGAGATTTTAAGATCTTTTAGCATTACTTCGCATTACCGATGTAAGAATAGAGGAAGAAAGTCTAAAATTCTAGAAAGCTTTTTAGTAAGAGACATTCGGTCATTCGGTTTTTATTTTCTGAATATCGAAAAAAAGACAGAAAATCTCACCCTTAATTTAAGTGAGGGGGATAAACATTTAAGGATACGCGAGAAACTGTTCTTTACCATATTCATCTCTTCCATTTTACACGTAGATATATGTCTGTGACATGGTACTTGCGTTAGCATAAGCTGCATTCCGATGTTCACTGCCAGTACTGAAAATATATAGTTCATGTCACATATATTATAGATTTTTAGTACTGACAGTAAATATTGAAACGCAGCCATAATAACACAAGAAGTTCACACACACGAACACGCGTTCACATTCCATGTGATTCTATGTGTGCGATCTTTGGGATGAGTGGCGATCTCCCTTGCCGCTTTCAAACAAATATGCTTCTTCAATTGCAACTTCTTTTTTTATTAAAATAGAGGGGCTACATGCAACCCCATTTCACTTAGCTTTTCTACATCTCTGATTTGAGATTATATTCAATGCGCATGCGCGAAAAAAGAATCCGTACTAGCGGAATCGTATCTATCTCATATTCATCGGTCTGTAGGAGCCTTTCTGGTAGGAATAGGGCCGAAGCACACATTTCTACATAACGCATAAGAAAATGAACCAATCATAGTCCTCCATTTCTACTCCACAATGGAAAGATTCCGATTGGTTTATTTTCTTATGCGTAAAACATTATGTATGTTTCCGGCCCACCGGCCCGTAGCTGTCGCAGATCGCAGCCACAGTTGATAGTCTGTCACTCGAGTGTGAAGTTGTTTGATGTAGACCGATATAGCCTAACTTTGTACTACACGTGGGCAAGGGCATATCGTTGGACAACTCGACGCCACGAATCGACCTTCTCGAGGAGGCAACCAAAATAAAAACACGTGGGCAGACGAGAGACACTAATTCGCACGCAGCATAAGATATTTAATTCTCAACAGGTATTTATTAGTACATATATAATTAACATTTATAGTCATGTCGTTCGTTATGGTGATATGTAAAACTCATACGAATTATCATCGTCCCAACTTTGTAAAATTCGTTATATTATCTAACCTCTGTTATGTCAGACGTTTTGCGATCAAGTTCTCGTTTTGCGATCTAATACGTTTGTTATTTTATTCTACACCGAAGCTAAATTCCTGGATTGGATAGGAGCCATTAATTTGGAAGAAGAAAAGGAAGATTCTTTTTGAAGATCTAATAAAATATATACAAGAAAAGTGCATCAATTGAGCATATTCAACATTGTCATGCCGCAATTTAGAAACATTGGTGTAAATACAATGCCAACAATGCAAAACCCTTCAAAATCAAATCAATACAACAAGCCAACATCTTCCAATTCTAGCTTACCGAATTCCTATAACAATATGATGAAAGCAATAAACACAGCATCTCAAACTTTTCGTCCAGTAAATGTTATTTCCCCAAATGGACCGAGGCAGTTGCAACGGGAACTCGAGACAGTACAGAAACATTTAAAAAAAACTAAAACTTTGCTAGAACAAAAAATGAAATCATCTACATAAGCTTTAAATAAGTTTGTGAGCTAATTATAAAATATCATTTATATAAGAAATTTCTCGTATTGTTAAAGTATGCTTTTGAAATCATTTGATCAGTATTTTATTTACTTTAAAATATTTTTAACTGATTCAAAATGTCTGGCATCATCTTCAATGAATCTAGAATACAACGACAGTATTAATTTTCCAGCTTAATATTTTTTTAGACTTTATCTTTCTTGAAAAGATTTCATCAATATTTTGATAGATGTGACAAAAAGAAAAGGTCAAAATGAAATTAAACAAATAGTTAGTTGCTTTTTCCTTAAAAATTGAGGAAATCTATCCCATGAAAGAAATAACCTGAAAGAAATACCAAAATTATTTGTAAATTCAAATAGTACAAATATTGTGTAATATTTTATGTAAGTCTAAAAGTTGTTTGTAAATTCAAATAGTACAAATATTATGTAATAGTAAAAATATTTTATGTAAGTCTATTAAGAAATATTGGGCTATGTTTATAAGTATTACCTGAAGCAAAAGTTGTTTGTAAATTCAAATAGTACAAATATTAATATTTTATGTAAATCTATGAAGCAATATTGCTACATCTCTGTTTAAAAATATTATCCGTTTAATATTAAATAACAAAGACAAAATGATATGTAGAAGGTAATGTTTTTGAATATAGCTCTATATAATCAATAATATCAAATAGAAGATTAATGAAATTAGAGTTTTATATGCAGAATTTATTCCATTGTGATAACAATAACTTAAATGTGTGATAATAAACCTGCCAGATAATACATCAAATAAAGCATAAGTTAAAGCAAGTTATAACAGTAACAATTTCTTCTTCTTCTTCTTCTTCTTCTTCTTCTTCTATTAAGACTATATTTTCTGCTCTCTTGATCTTCCTGCAGAGGGCCAGCTCTTGTGCTATTTCTCGAATGGTCTTCCGGGCGGAAGTAGGGATTTCCGATCTTATTCACTTTACCAATCGATTGGGCTCTAGCCTGTCCACATAGTCTCTCTAATGATGTCTCCTCGCTCTCATGAATCGTTTTTCATGAATCTGATCATATTCTGAATCCCACGCTCCTGTCGTATATCTTGATTTCTCATTCTACCTCTTAATGTTACTTTGATGTCTCTAAGTATCTTCATTTCTGCTTTGCGCTCTTTTTGTTATTGTTGTTTCAGCTCTTATTTCAGCATAGATCAAGTAGTAACAATTTAATAAATAATAATAACATTTAATGAAATAGGATTATAAGAATATACATGTGCACACTCATACACGTACACACATACAGAATTATTAGAAATTTTAATTTAGCTAAAAATTAAGCAACCTTTTACATAAATATGTAAAAGCTTAATTTACACAATTCATTTGTAAACTTTTATATTATTGTGTAAAAATTAAACTTAAAAAAATAAAAATTTGTTTTATTTTGAGAAAAATTAAAAATAGGTTTAGATTATTAGGAATATTACCAAAGATAAATGCTAAAAATAAATGTCAGATAGATATTCCTTTGTTATTAAAGATTTAGTTTGTAATTACTTTTTATTATAAACAACTTGAATTAGGAATCTCTGATTCTTATTTTTCCTATGTGTAATTTTTCGCCATGTAGTATTTCCTCTATATATGTTTAGTATATTAGTTTTTCAAATGTATAATTTATATATTATAAATCATAACAAAATTTCTCTTAATGTAAGTGCATTATGTAACTATTCTTATTGTAATATTGTGGAACTAATTCATTGTTAAGTACTATTTGATAAGGTAATCCTGAATTCCTTTTGTTTCAGATAATTAACAAGGATAAATGGCAGACGGGGAGGTACGGGTGCGTACTTTGGCTACATTCAATACAGAATATCCAGCTGATACAATAGAATGGTGCCCTGTAGAGCCATTTCGAAATATATTAGCATGTGGGACATATAAATTAGACAAAAGTATACAGGACACGAGTTCGAGAGCATACAAACAGGGACGAATTTACTTGCTTCGTGTGATAGATGGTGGAAAATTAGAATTGTTGCAAACATTGCATACCGCAGCCGTGTTGGACATGAGATGGTTACAAGTCGTAGATTCCATAGAGAGTCGAACATTGCTTGCCGTCGCCGATTCCGCTGGATATTTAATAATTTATCAGCTGAACAGTGAGGGAAGTCAACCGGAATTGAAGTTTATTACCAAATCGAAAGTCAGTGACAATGAAAATGTCATGGCATTATCTTTGGATTGGTCGACAGAAAAATATTCCACTTCCAATCCTCTGTTCAGTCCACATATTATTGTAAGCGATACTGCAGGACAAGTCTCTCATTTTACATGGCGCGATACAGGTGACCTAATGAAAAATTTCACATGGCCTGCACATGAATTCCAGGCATGGATTGCTGCCTACGATTATGACTGTAGCAATCTTTTTTATACCGGTACGATAATGTGCAATGTTATAATTAATGAAAATGAATTCATATTGAATTTTGAAATTCTTTTTTTGAATATTATTAGAAAATTCTCTATAAATTTTCAATGGACTAATAATAATTGTAAATTTCAGGAGGTGATGATAGCAAGTTTTTAGGATTCGATACCAGGACAAAATTAAGTACACCCACATTTTGTAAAAAAGATCATACTGCCGGAGTCACTAGCATCCATAACAATGTTAATAAACCATTTTTGCTTGCGACTGGAAGGTAAGAAACTATTCTGCATATTTATTAAAGATCGATTGATAAAAATATAATTAAAGAATTTTACATTCGATTTTTCATGAAGTCCTTTACGAATTTTATGATAGATTTCTTAGTTTTTTCGTAAATCAATAATAAAAGTAAAATTCACAATTTTTGCATTGTTTCTTTTACATAATCACAGAGTTTACTTAAAAATTATTTTTTTTTCTTGAAGCAATATATGTGCTTAAATATTTCAGTTATGATCACATAATGAGGCTGTGGGACAAGAGGTATTTCATGCAACCAATATCGACGGTGAATCTCAAAGGTGGAATTTGGCGATTGAAATGGGATCCGTTTACTCGGCAATATCTACTCGCTGCATGTATGTACAACGGATTCAAGATAGTTCTTAATGACATGCTATTATCCGTCGTTGCCGAATACAACGAGCACCAAAGTATAGCATATGGTTGCGACTGGTCATTCCTGAAACAACAAGATGTCTTGAATCTAAATATACCTGATGGAGAAACCTTGATAAGTACTTGTTCCTATGAAGATTGTAGCCTCAAGATATCCGTGGTCAACTTCTGGCCAGGAAAATGGGATATTGAACAATACGATTCTACTTACCGGTAATGATTTAGACGAAAATAGATAAAACAATCATATTTTCAAATATGACTGTTTTCAAATATGATGTGGTAACGAAACTTAGAAAATTAATATACGAAATGCCAATTTACACAATTTGCATTATATAAAAATTTATATAAAAATTTGAATGACAATATTTGTATCAAATTGTAGCAAAATAATTATATTTATAAATTGAATTTTTTTTTACATTTTTTCTTTTAATAAATTCAATTAATTTTTTTATAAGGAGTACCAATTGATTAAATTGTTACATTATCCAGCGTGTTCTATTTTTCACATAAATTAATTTTATTAAATTAATTAAATTTATTTACGTTTTTCTAGTTCATCTTCGATAATATCTCGTTTAAATATGCAGGATTGTGAAACTAGAAATCGAATTTAAATCTTTTTAAATGTCCGTCGTGTTACCAATTATTTTCTCAATTTTACATTCCTTTTTAAAGAAAATTTTACTCGGTAGACTCTTCTGATGATGGACAAAGGATCAATCAAAAACATAAAGTTTTGGAACAATCAACGAATACAATTTTTCTCGAAACCTTTTGTGAAATGTATCCCTGGCTTAATTAAATTTCGCGGTTAAAGTGTAGAGAACCTTCATTAGAGCAGGCGCTCGAGGCCCCCCCATCTTCGTTAATCTTACACCGTGGCCGTGTCGCGGGTGCGCGCCGCGAGGTGGTGGGTCGGGCGCGGCGCGAGCCGCATTTCGCCGCGGACGGTTCGATAAAAATCAGTCGTCGCTCGCATCGGTGGCTGGGCTTCGTTTGATTAGGGGTAGTCTCGTGGCTGTGCTCCGTGGGGGTGTCTCCGTCTGTCTTTTCCTCGTCGACGACACACGAGTGGCGTATCCAAGAGCGGACGGCGAGCGGGACTCTCCCTCGGTGCCGTGACAGGATCCACGGCTAGTCACGGCCCCCTGGAATCTCGTAGTCGGTGAGTCGGTGAGTAAACGACGAGAGCCCGGACCGCACGCGCGGGCGTCCCCGCGACGATGTCCTTCCTCCCGTGCGAGGATCAGCTGGTCCCGGCTAGTCATCGTCCCAGGAGCGACTCTGTGCCGCGCGTCCCCGCGACCTGCACCTGCCGCGGGATCCGGAAGGCGCCGAGCCAAGGTTAAGCGTCCGCGTTTCGCTACTCCGCGTCGCGGCGTCTCCCTTTTCCCCTTCCTCGTTCCCCGTTTTCTTCCCCCTCACCCCTTCTCCCTTCCTCCCTCGGTGACGGATCGAGCACCCTCGATCTAGGGCGGCGCGCCGAGGTTGCGTCAAATCGCGCGCGTCTCCGTCGCGAGAAGCGACGGATTTTCCGCTCGCGGGTGCATCCCGCGCCTTCCCCGCGGCGACGACGGCGAGCCGAGAGACTTTATCGCACGTGTGATATTACACACGCGTGACTTTTCCGCTCGGTGCATCTGAAGGGTCATTACTTTTTTTTTTTTTAAACATGGCGCAATTGTTTCTGTTTAATGCGCTCGTCCTTACGACTTAGTGGCAAATAATGAAGCGACATAGAAAAAAATCACGGGGTGCTTACCCCTTTTAATCGCGTCGTGAACTCTTGGCCGAAGTAGACGACTCGAGGGGGGAGGGGGGGGGACGTTCCAGGACACGCGTATGCGCTTTTCTGCGCGTTCTCCTCTTCCCTCCTCGCCCCTTCCGGAGCGCGGCTTAATTGACGTAAATTCAACGCCGCCCGCGGAGAATTTCAGCGCGTCGCGCGGGTACTCTTAATTTCCGTATCTTTTCGAACAAATATTTCTTTTTTCTTAACTCCCGCTGGTTTTACATCTTTTAATGATCGTTCGATTCGATTCGTCTAGACTAGAATTTTTTTTTTACACGGTTTTTCAATGCTAGGATCGAAAAACTGACCGGGCAGTTGTCTCTTCCGTCCGGTGATGTTTTCTTTAGGATTAAAAAGGATTTAAAAAAGAAAAATAAAAATAGAACTCAAAGAAAAAGTTGTTTGAACAAGCAGCATCTACTTTCATTTGGAAAATACATGTGGGAGACGAATGTAATTTACTTAACATGTTACTCGCCTGAGGCACCAGGGAGCTCTTGCCCCCCCGTCCGAGGAGGAAGGGAGGAGGGGTACTCCGAGATTGATTTCCGCCTGGCGGAACGATTTATTCTCGATTACCTCGTTACAACGCGATCCCCAACGAAGACGAGCCGTTTAACGTGCGAGTCAGCTTCCCCGTCGATAGAGAAAGAGAGAAAGAGAGAAAGAGGGAGAGATAGAGAAACAGAGAGAGAGAGAGAGAGAGAGAGAGAGAGAGAGAGAGAATCCAGTCGCGGTGCAAGGGCGTTGTCCTCTCTCTCGTCATACAGTGGTTGCACGTCCGGCAACGTCCTTCGCCTCGTGCGTCCTTCGAGGCGGCGGAAAAAAAAGAAACAGGACGAAAAAGGACAAGAAAAAAGAACGGAATCTAATCTCCGGGGATGCGAATCTCCGCGTGCATCGCCGGTTCGTCCGGCTGATCGACTCGTGAGCAAAAACAACGTCGATACGTAAGGGCTCGCGTAAGGAGTGTCCTGACGCGTGGCAAAAAAAAAAAATCGCGGACGAATTCAGACAGCCGGAGATCCGAAGGCGGTCGCTCGCGTCTCGAGAGAATCATCCGCTTAGAAGTAGTTCATTATAGCGGTGCAGCTGTGGGAGGATTCGCCGCGTCTAACGTTAATGTCTCATTGTCAGACGGATCCGTTTTCGATCCAATGGACGGACGGACGGACGGACGGACGGGTGAACGATCACCGCTGACGTCAGTCGACATCCGCGACTTTACTTCGCGTGGAGAAAATTGAATTTTTAAGCCGTACGCGCGCGATAATCGGTTTCGTCCATCACGGGAATCGGAGCATCGTACGGAGGATGCACGCGAGGAGAAATTGATGGGAATCTCTGTCGCTCTGTCGGAGAAGGCCCGAGTTCTCGGCGTTCCTCGCGTGAGAGAGCATCTCGTGTTTTTTTTCTCATTATCACCTTCGGACGATTCCCGCGATAAGCGGAAAAGCCGCTTTGCTCGCCGAATTTATTCTTTAATTGTATAAAATAATGCGATGCAGAGATAGGACAGAGGGACGAATAAAGAGAGAGCAAGAGAGAATATGTTGATATACATAACAATAAATTCGTGGGATATTCGGCAAGTAGTCACGTGATGCCGAAGGGCTCCAAAATCTTCGGAGAATCCGCGATTTCGAGAGGATTATACAATAATCTGCTCTTTCAAGCCGCGCTGACAAAGAACAAGTTGCAAAGTTCACCGTGAGAAAATCTTCCACAGCTGCGTATTTAATTTCCATTTGAAGAGAGGAATATGAGTTTAGGAGAACGTTTAGAGCTCGGTAACGCGAAGATTCCTCGATCGGGCGTTGAGGAAAGAACGCGAGCGAATCGAGGCGAGCGTTTCTTTCGCACATCCTTCTCCCGCATGCGGCTGCACTTTTCTGTCGTTCTATTTTTTTTTCTTTCTTTCTTTTTTTTCTTCCGCTTCTCTCATTCGACGGCGAAACGAACGCACGCCACGTGTGCGTCGTCGGATCTTTCCCGGAAAGATAGAAAGAGAGAGCCGACGTGCGTGCGTCCGCGCGATTTTTCCGCACGATAATAACCGGGATTAAACGCGCGCGGATTAACGATCTCTCTCCATGATTATTACAATTACCATTACTATGATTCTAGGAGCGGAAAGGCGGGCGTCCGTACACAGAAAAAAAAATTAGTCTTAAATCAAGACTTATATTTTCTCGTATATAAGAGCAAGAATATTATAATCTTCTTGGAAAAATTTCAGTGAGAAAGATTTTTTTATTTGATTGAATTTGTATTGAATTTGTAAGTATAGATATTTTCATATATAAGCGAGAATGTTATAATCTATAGAAGAGTTTTTTAGTCTTGAATTGGAAAGTAAAATCAAAACTAACATTTTCTAAGAAGATTGAAATATTCTTACTCATATATGAAAAATATAGTCTTGATTTAAGATAAATTTTTTTCTATGTACTCTCGTTAATTAGTCTGTGAAATATACTCTTTCTATTTAAGACCAAAGTTTATCTGAACGATAATTTTTTCTCCCAAACAAAAGCAAAAAAGTAATATAATCATGAGGAAAGTTACATATTTCTTGTCAAACGTTTAAACTAATAATATTAAGTTCTATATGCAGAAAAAAATTAATTAAAAAAAATCAAGATAAATATTTTCGTATATAAGCAAGAATATTTATAATTTTCTTATATTGATGCAAATACTCTTATATATATATATATATATATATATATATATATATATATATAATA